CCCCGTTTTAGGACAAAACAGGAATTTCCGCGAACCACAATAAAATTATAATCTGGATTTGAATTTCTGGTTATCGTCACTCAAAATTTTAAATCTGGCTAACAATCTTCAGCTGCTCAAACGTAGCTAGCCTATAATTATGTGATGCCAAGAAATCGGATGATAATAATAATAATATACATTTTATTATTTAAAAACAAAAGAAAATGGTGGATTAGCACGTGTGGTTCTTTACTCTGCAGCCAAAAATGTGCATAATGCAGGTTTCATACAATAAAAGAACATGTAGGTGCGATAAACAGACGAACAAACAGAAAATGAATAACCAATAAAGAAAGATACAGAAGATTACAACGCGACTAATAATAAAATGAAAAGTCTTCTGTTACCAAGTGTCCTCTATTACCTCTATTATCAAGTGAATATACATCCAAAAGATGATACACGATTTTATATTGATAAGCGTAAATAGCTGTACAAAGCTCACCCCATGCTTCACAAGACATTGACAACTTCTTTTGAAAGACAAATCCATGTGTCATGTAAATGAGCATTCGAATTAGACCTGTGAAAGATAAATATATATAAAAATTATAACAACAGAAAAGTTCACCTTGGAGGAGGGAATCGTTCAATACGCAATTCTGTTCTCTATTGGTTGAATACAGAATTCTGTTCTCTACTGGTTGAATACGGAATTCTGATCTTTCCTGAAAGAAAAGCTTCAGTTCTTACTGTCTGTATATAAATATATGTTACTTACAAATGCAGCATAATAATGGGTATAGAGTTTTGACAAGTAATCAACGAGGTATACCGGCATTCGATCATATCTGTTTCTTCGCCACCAATGGTTCAAATGTTCACGTTAATTCTCATTTGTGTACAATGGATTACTTGGATTTCGTATCTACTAATAAGCAGCTGCACAAGTAAGTAAGGAATGATTTCAAGTTGAATAATGTGTAACACTGGTTTGAACATTTTCACGGCAATAAACTATCATATATATTTATCTTTCACAGGTCTAATTCGAATGCTCATTTACATGACACATAGATTTGTCTTTCAAAAGAAGTTGTCAATATCTTGTGAAGCATGGGGTGAGCTTTGTACAACTATTTACGCTTATCAATATAAAATCGTGTATCATCTTTTAGATGTATATTCACTTGATAATAGAGGTAATAGAGGACACTTGGTAACAGAAGACTTTTCATTTTATTATTAGTTCGATTTT